AAGTTTAATAGAACCGGCCCATGAAATTGGGACGAAACGAGTCGTGGGACTGAAATTACTTGATCAGAAATATATAAATTATAACTAGAAATAGCTACAGAAGTTAAAGTTAAACAATACTGAGATTTGAAGGAATGTGAAATAAGACAATTACTCACAGTAGTTTTCTAGTTGTACAAAAGAATATGTTTAGAAGAGTGTCAACAAGGGAGCAAATATATGCAGTCAATATGTATTGGGTTTGCTTCGAATTCCAAACATCGTTCCTTATTGTATACGATTCGAGTCACGCACTGTATTCAAATAGAAATAGGCTTCGGTGTAGTGAAAATTTCAAACATTTTTTTCTCATTTACAAACTTATATAAAAATCCTTATGCATTGGAAAATCTAAGTTAATAGTTAAAAACTAGTAGACTATTTATACAACAAAATTTCAACATCGGTCAAATAAAAAATAAAACTGTTTGTATATTTGTTTTATGGGTTGCTAAACGAAGAAACTGATTGGATGTTGTGGTTCACTCAATAATATTTGTGATTACATTTTTATTTTGTTTTTTAATAAACGATTTTGACACTGTAATTACATAACACGCTGCTTCATTTAGTCCTGCAATAAAACGTATGCTTTTGACATCACATTATCCCCTGCTTAAGTGCTAATTGACATATAGATGGCACTCAACGGTAATTAAATTAATGGTTTCCCCGCATCAAGTACTTCCGTGTCACACATTACCGAAAGATCTCCAAGTTGGCTACGGAAATTGTCATAGAAATTCAAACAGCTACAGAGACGACATTTCACTACAAACTCTAACTTTTTTTTAATAATATAAGGTAGTTAACGAGCAAGCGGCCATCCTAAATCCAACGAAATGGAAAGCGACCGCTGCCCATAAACATACGCAATTGCAGATGCATTGCTTACCCTTAATTGACGGAGAAGACGCACATAAAGAGGACATTTCCCCTTCCTATGCGTCTCCTTCACCGTCAAAGCCACTTTTCATTCCCATCCTCTCCTCTTAAGAAAAGGGTGGAAACTGTACAGTGCACCAAACTTATGTGGCCCTATGATAATCCCCCTGCTATCTCAGTTAACGACATAAAACAATACATGACAAGGACCTCTTTGATTGGCGGGCGTTAATGGGCTATGATAAATTAATATCAGTCAACGGGAATATCATTCATAACCTCAACAGCACATGTTAGTCGTAGACTTGTTAGTACTACTAACAGTAGTCAGGACTACTAGTAGTAGGGGTTTAAGATTGGTTCTTAATATTCCGTATATTGATAAGCAAGCTAAGCATCAAAAAATTTTGCTTCATACTAATATTATAAATGCGAAAGTTTATACATGGATGAATGTTTGTTAGAGCTTGTATCCTAAACGGCTGAACTGATTTTGATAAATTTGCTATAGATGTAGAGGATAGTCTGGAAGAACACATGGGCTATTCGCTTTTGTTTTTTTTTTAATTCTACTCGAGTCGCGGTCCAAAGCTAGTGAATACATAAAGTGCAAATTCCCTTGCCAGTGTAGTGATAGATTAATGTATCAAATATTGGTCATGGATTATGCTAGCGTTTATAATGTTCCACTCTATTGTAGCGTAATAGGCTTACGATATATTCCTTGAACTATCAGCAAATTAAACTCAATTCAATATTTATCTAGAATCAATTTGATTTTAATTAAAAATGTGATTATATCGCTATTATCAGTCTTCTTAATTCCTAATCTATCGTTTTATATCTTTTGTACTTATATTTTGTTCCTTATTAGTTTACGAAAATTATTTTACGAAAGTAAATTGTTTGTAAAAGCTGTGTGAATTAGTAATGTCATTCGTTTGACGAATGTAGGGTTAGATTGGGATGTCAATCATTAGTGCGGTTTGAGATCGATACGTACGAATTGATGAATGGAATCGTTCGTGGACAACTTTATTACGTTATCCCTGATTGAACGAATGACATTTTGTGTATCAAAGTGTGTGTCAGAGATGTCCTGCCCTCTCTATTTTATTACATTGGAATAAGACACTTTACGCTTTTATACACATAAAGTGGTCTTCTTAGATTGTTTTAAATATGTCCTAATTTGTTATCCTTTAAGTAAACATTTCGTTTCTGAATTTTAGCTAAGATATGAAGATTATGCCTCATAAGTTGCCGTCGTGCAACGCAGAATAAACATTTTTTTTAGCATGAAAACTTCATCTCTATTGCATTGAATAACTTCGCAGCTTTGTAAATACCTGTAATAATGTTGTCTAGTTAATATATATTTTAAAATGAAATGTATTATATCCAGAAGTATCTCGTTGATTTTAATTAATCAGTAAACAATTCATTTCGTTTACATTAAAATAAACAACATATTTAAACGAGCAACCTTCACTTGTTCATATGTTATCTGCAGCGCAAATAATGGAAATACGTAACAAAAACTGAAATATGAATTGTAGCACTATGTTCGGAACGTTGTCTGTTTATGAATACATTTCTGTGAATTTCATACGCTTTGACGTCCAATTAAAACGATGACATTCGAAGTCCAGGCAGTAATGACCAATTAACAAATTTACTTGGAAACAAAATCCGGGAAATTATTTCCGATGAATTCGAAATATATTCTTGATTAATTGTTCAAATGTTATTTCATTTTTTTAAATTCACTATCGGATGTGTCAAAGGGCTACTTAAGTATCAATTAAAATTAATTAATTTTTATTTAAGAGTAGCGATCTGTTACAGCTTCGCCTAGGCGGCAAAGAATGGACATATCATATCTTTTCTGTCGCATCCTTGTCCATATCGTTGACGTTAAATGTAACCTATGTTAAATAACATAGGTTACATTTTGCAATCATCAAATAATTTTTATAATGATCTTTGTGAAGGCGAAAGAATTTTTGAAATCGGTTCAAAAATTTTTGAGAATATTCAGTAGAATAAATCTCTCCTCTATAATATTAGTTAAGAAAAATCTCAACATAAACCAGCATTACTTCCCTGGAATTTTAACTTCAGAATAACACCACATTTAAATTCTACAGAGTATACAGAAAAGTCAAATTAATCTCTACCCTGAGGTCCAGTGGGAATGTAGCTTTGTTAACTTAAGAATTTTCATTGTTTTGCTGCCTACAATGGATTATTATCTTGGTCGCCTTTAAAAAAATATGTTTTAATTTTTTAATACTACGCAATACAGTTATATAGTTGGGTTAGGAGGATACCAACAACATTTACAATGACTTACGTCATACTAAACTATTGCACTCCCGGAACATTGACCAGGTCATCAATTTATCTTGTGTGAATCAAGATACCCTACTTTCGCGCTAAAATAAAATCAATAGGTGTTTGAAACTTATTCCTTCGTTGTCAGAGAAATAATGGGGACAAGCACGAACATTTTAGAGAAAGTGTTCATAAACTCATCGACAAAATTTATACATTTGTGCTATACGTTACAGACCTTCACAACAAATCTCATACAAAGTCCACGACGTACTGTCTCGCAAAATTGAAAAATTTTGTGCTATGTCCTTTGTATCCCATTAAATGTTTAGCGTATATGCTGACACGACACTTTCTAATCTAATAATCTTGTTGTTTCTCGTTTGGGAACGAAAAATTACAAAATAGGTCCGTTCCTTCCATAGACAACCGAAGCAACAGGTAACATTTCGAAGTTTATAAATAAGTCTGTATTACAAAAGGCAGTACGAGACTTGTCTTTTGTTCTCGTTTGCGGTATTGTTTTTAAATAAAAAATGAACTCATAGAACTAATTTGTTTTAGCTCATAGGCTATAAAAGTAATAAAACGGCCTTGTTAAATATATTTACCAACGCATATACGTGCTATGCCATTCAATCTTATCTTGGATATTTGTTAGAGTTTGTAGCCTAAACTAAAAAGCTGAGTTAATATCAATGAAATTTAGCACAGACGTAGAGGCTAGTCAGGAAGATCACAAAGGCTACTCACTTTTGTTTTTTTTTAATTCCACGCGGACGGAGTCGCGGGCAAAATCTAGTCAACATGGCTTTTATGTTAAAAGTCACAACCACGTCGTTGAAGATTAAACACAAAACATCCGTGGTTTATACAGCTACATGCAATTATTCCGCGAAGTTTTAATTACGCTAAATAAATTATTGATAGTCGTGACATTATTGTTGTATAATTAGCTTTATCCTCTAAATTTGTATTGTATATTGGAATTAGCAGTTGAAAAGTAATTAAATACACTAAACGCATTGAACTAAGACCAAATATTGCGCTAACTGCAAGTTCCTACATGAAGATGGCACGTGCCAGTGCCTATTCCGAAAGTGTTCCGACATCTTGAATATGTTTCGCAAATTCAAATTATTTCGAACAGACAATATCAATTATATGTGTCTATTTTCCATATCCGTTGATGCTTCGAATATCAGCAACAGTATACAGCCGTTACGGTGTACTGACAGTGAAATTTCATGTACCTGACTTGTATGCAGCTCGAAATACAAACATTTAATTACAGCGTTACGCACATCTGGTTACGTCAGTTCCGTCAGTTTCGCTCGTGCGTTTTGCAAAATCAACGAGAGATATATCAAGTAACATTTGGTCAATACAATTATATAGAAATAATTCGATTTTGTAAATACATTTTAAACACGTTCATGATATCATTTTCAATTTTGTTTGAATATTTGAATTTTGGAATAATTGTTTGGTATTTTATATATGAGAGTAATACGTTAGGCTTTATCGTGATTTGACTTCACTTTGTTTACAATAATATTGGTAATCTAGAGGCGGCAAACGCCTTAAAGAGGACGTCTTTTGATTGATCATGAAAAGCAATAATTTGAGAATGTTATGATTGATAGCCCAATATTTATTGCTTTTTCAAGCTCATATTAACCTAGAAGATACACTTTAAGAAGTTTAAGTTATAAAGTATTTTTTCATATATTTTTCAGATAACTCTTATGAGTCTAAGGAGTGAAGACTTTTGCAAGATTTTATTAAGATAAACTTTACTTTGTGTGAACCAGAAGGGACACTGGAACAAAGAAACAAGTTAGGGAAGCTACAATAATTCTGCCTTAAGGAGTTCCTTCCACTGACCGCGTTTGTTGTTTTCGCAAGTTCATTATAATTGCAAATTTTTGTTTGGAAAATTTTCGACTGAAAAAAATTATCTTTAAACATTTTGAAAAACTTAAAACGCTTTCATTCGTCCTTTAAAGACTTGATCTATTATGTAATTTAATTTATTTAATTCTTCGCTTCATCATCATCTTTCTCCTTATCCTACTCCCGTAAGGTCGGCACAACAGGTTTTTGTCCTCCACATAACTCTATCATACGTCATCTCAGTCATCACTCCCTTCAAGATCATGTCACTTTTTACGCAATCCATCCATCTCTTTCAAGGTCTACCTCTACCAGTGTACCTCCAATAAAAATATCTTAATTAATTAATTATCTAATTCTTCGTTTGAAAACATCGTTTTAAGGATAAATTAACATGAATTTTCTAATTCGTATTTAAAGCTTATTTGTAATTGAGATATTCTCATGATATTATCAGCAAAATATTTATACAGGCATAATGTTTCCGGATCCCTTGTATCTAAACGACACCCACTCACCATCACGTTTGTTTACACAGTGTTAATAGTCATATGTTCTCCGTAGTGTATAGCCCTATTTAGTATTACAATAACACGAGCCTGATGCCATTATTTAAGGTCACACAAGTTGTTCACATAATCATAAATAAACAAGCCCTGCTCCCAAACTTATGTATTAGTCGTTTTGTTTTTAAACAATCTAGTTGTTTAATGGATTTTCTTATTTCTTACTGAATTGTTTTTCTGTGTATTTTTTTTATAAATTTACAGCAATCCATCTACAGTTCTTTAGTCTGATAGATAAGTTATAGTATCTCTTAATATTAAGCCTAGAAAATATCTAAAAATGTTTCAGTACAATTAATTTACCAAAGTAACTCCAAAGAGTTACGCTTTCAATATACAGGACCCTTGAGCCATGAATAAACTAAAGCCTATTTGTGCGCGGAGACTCAATTTAAGGGGTTTTGTTTCACGTGAAGGCTTTAGCTAAGGGATTATCAATATTCGACCTTTATATCGTAACGTCAGGTGTTGGGCGTTAGGCGTTAGGCGTTAGACGTCAGGCGTCAGGTGGTCGAAGATAATACCCATTGTGTGAATACAGACAACTTCGTTATTCCACCCAACCCAGCGTACGAAATAACACTTTGTTCTGGGAATATGTGTGAACCAATAATTGTTTCAAGCTTCGATTGTTAAAGGAAATATCAAGTGGCCGTAAATACTTACATTGTCTATTATTTTATTATTGATTTGATCTTTAAAGTAATTTACATTTACCGGGATATCAAAATATTTGGAAATCAAACGATTATTAAAATCACTAAAATGTATAATTGTGAGTACACTTTGTATATAGCCATTTAATTTATACTTTCACTAATTAAAAAAATTGCTTTAATTTATTTTTATTTAAAAAGCATACAGTTAACACATTTTTAAATCACCAATACAACGAAGTCTTTATGAAAAATATTGTACTCGTTACACCAAAGTTTCGGTATTTAAAAGTTTCAAAGGAAAGCAAGACTAAGTGAAAAACTACGGCCGTGAAGATTCTCTCTCGAGATTTCGAACGCGAAAACTTTGCGTTCTTCACTTTAAATTGGTGATTTGTTGATGCTAAAAATTTAAATGTAAAAATATAAATAAAAATAGAGTGACTATTATCATGTTCATTGCAATATAATTTAACGGCGGAAGGGATCTCGATGAAATTTGGCATAAATGTAGAGGATAGTTTAGAAGAACACATAGGCTGCTGCTTTTGTTTTTTTTTACTCCGCGTGGATGGAGTCGCGAGCGAAAGCTAGTATTGATATAAGAAGATATAACTTACAAATTTTTTCACCTTTAGAATTTTACGTCGCATAAAAAGAAATGGCGACATGACACAAAAAAAATACGACATTTCTTATAAAGTTAACGCCACAAACGTCAGCCGATTTTCCGCACCCTTGTCACTCTTTATCTTACAAATGTACGGTATACAACGTGTTACAATAAACTACTGTTAAATAATTTAACCGTTTTTATTTACGGAAAATATCTATAGTTTTAGTTACCTAAAATAAAAAAGAAAACTATTTGAATTATAGTTTTTTATGGAGTATTTTCTTCTAAATTGTGTGTGTGTTAATATTATATTACTAATAATGTTTTTAAAACCATTACTACAATTATACACGGTAAAACACGACATATCCGTAGCTTTGCTCTTACTCGAACGATTTGTTCGGTTGCCGTCCATCTTGTGAACAAATCGCCTCATCGTTCAATGCCACTGGTGGATGCTCTAATTTATAGCAGTTTCTGATGGTAGAGATACCAAAAAGTTTAATTTTTAAATCAAGTTTTGTTTTTGCAAGAAAACACTACATTATTACTAATAATAATTTCCACCATGCTGTGTATTAAAACTTTTTTTTTTGGAAAACACATTAACAAGTCAAGAAATTTTTTAAAGTATTCGCAAAAGATTCTATTAGATTTTTTTTGTATTGTCATCTCCCTATGACATTAAAAAGTTACCTTTAAAAATATAACATGATCACATTTCGGATAAAGCGATCTCGTCTATTTTGTACTTAATTCTAAATTCAGTAGGTGTTTCCGTTGAAAAAATCGCTTCGACAATTCCTTCACAAGCATCTAATCTCAAAGACTAAGAGCCCATTACTTTTATCCTTGGAATATTAAATCTTTCTATCAAAGGCTGGATGTAAGGAAGGTTAACTGTGAATTTAAAAGCACATATACATCTTCATATATGAACCGAGAAACGCATTTGCTAGCACTCTTGCTGTACCTAGAGATTGACTTTTTGAAAGGTTTAATGTCACACTTTAACCCTATCAGCATCATTTAACATAAATATTTCTCTTTAAGCTAATACATTTTCCTTGTTAAACAAGTACACAAGTATAGGAAAACAGTCATCTTTGCCAGCATCAAGAAACTTCGCGGAATTGCCTTTACAACACAAACATCCATACAAAATTGAGCATTTTTACCGTCTATAAACACTGTTAACTAAAAGTTTTCAAATATAAAATGTTAATTTACTTCCGCAGTGGTTGAGAAATTAAGGAGTAAAAGGTTAGTATGGTATGCATATCAAGAAGGAATTTAGGTATGAGTGTGGAGGTACACCGGTAGAGGTAGACCTTGATGGAGATGGAGGAATTGCGAGAAAGGTAACATGGTCAAGAAGGGAGTAATGACTGAGATGACAGATGATAGTGTTATTTGGAGGACGAAAACCTGGTGCGTCGACCCTTAGGGAGTAGGATAAGATGATGAAATATTAATTTACTTATTTAAGATTAGATTGTTGGTTGTTTTATCAAAGACTAATGAGAGTCTCCTAAATGACAGACTCTTAACTTATTAAAACTTTCGTGAGACATTATACTATATAAATTATAACACGGCTAAATTCGGTGTAGGCACCGACAGTTTCGAACCCGTTGGGGGTCCTTCTTCAGGGTGAGTGATTAATCGGGTATACTCGCTATCGCAGTACAGTGACAGACTCTACGTAAAAAGAATCGCTTCATATTCGAAACTTACCTTGGCACCGAAGGTGATCCCGTACTCGAAAGCCTCATCGGGGTGCAGTGGAATCTCCAAATCGTTCTCGTCGTCGGAGACCAGATTGTAGTCCGTCTTGGACTTGGACTTGCGCCACTTGAAGAGTTTCAATGGCACGCGCCAAGCCTTTGACTTCAGCATAAAGCGCACGTAGCGCGCCTTCAGCCCGCGCTTGAACATCGTGGAATCTTGTTTATAGCCTGCAAAGAAATAAATACAATTAAACATAAATATAACAAATATGATTAATCGGTGACAATTTACAATAGCCAATAACAGGAATTAGAAAGTAGCAAATTGATTATATTGCTCATGGAAGTCAAAGATTTATAAAACTAACTTCGTGATATTTCGAAGCTTTTAGTACATTTCTTACTTCTAAGATAACATTATCTATTATCACTTTATTTCTATCAGGTACGAAAAACAAATTCAGATATTCTAAACCGTTATGAATTTCTTTCCTTTGTTTTTAAAGGGACTAAGTAGTCCCATCTCTGGATTACAATTAAGGGTACATTTTGCAATATCACTAAATAAAGTCCAATAAAGTCAACGAGTTGCAGCGAACCAATCAATGTAACCGCTGCTTCTATACGCTTGTCAATTGAAAAGCCACGGGGATTCGCTACAACACCGTTTTTGTGGTGTTTGTATTCTATTTTTAACATGCAAGAAGAATTTGCATTGCTTTTTTAGATAATGTATAATTTTATTAAAGAGATAATATTAATTAAAAAATAGTAACATAATTATGCGTTTCAGACCGGCAGACAACATTTTTTAAATGCGATTTTAATCAATGCTGGGAAAATCATCTTTTTGGAATCTGAAACTTTTCTTTTGATTCAAACACGACAATTTTATTATATGTATTAAGATAGATATGGGTTAACATAAACAAGTACACATTCAATGCAAATCAAACCGATAATTAAAATGTGTATTTATGACCACGATGACGAGTGTCGTATCTCCAAATTGAATGGTCACATTTTAGTTTGAATACAAAATTGATCAACAAAACAACCGCAAACGAAATATTTGAAACAACGGTTTCATTTAATCATGTAAATTCAATAATTTTCAACTGATTTCAGTGGAATTACGAATTAAATGTGCTTAATTAAAGCTAGTTAGACTTTTCGTGGGTATCGATAGCACCGATAATTGTATAGCTATCCCTTTCACTCGCATTAAAAAACGAAGACAACAATAATGCTGTCAATACAAGTTTCAAAACAGTTGAAACCTAATTACCTGAAACCTAAGAACCTACGGCACTTTGACACTAGACAAGCCAAGATACCTTTCTAAGCTGCCGCAATTGAGGCCTCAGTCCTTTCTATTTCTATACTAATATTATACACAGGGAAGATTTGTATTTTTGTATGTAGTGACGTAGCCAAAAGGCTACTGGACCGATTTCATAAACTCTTTCACCATGGCAAATCTACGTTATCGGTGAGTAACAGGAGCATTATTTTGTTTGTTTCACGCGGACGTGGTCGCGAGCAACAACTAGTATCTTATATTTGTATTTTCGATACTAAATACTATGTATGTATGTATATTATATGTATCTTTATATATTTATTTTCCCTTATCGCACACACAAACGCACACAAGCCTACGCAACAATGCACAAATACATTCACATACACACAGCAACACCACAACACACACACACACAC